ATTTTTATGCCAGCTTTGATGAAGAGTGGAGAGTCGTGAAAAAAAACGTGATAGGACAAACATATGCGCCAAGTGTAGTACACTGAGAAAACTTAGCAAGGCCTGTTAGTTCCGAGTCCTCACTGTGTCCCATCTTGGAGATAAGGTGCTCTTTTCCTCCAGGTATAGGGCGTACACCTCTCACACGAGGGTCTTATGACCAGCTTCATGGGAGAAGATCAGAGAGTCCTTCCCTCACATGCTGTTTCTCGAATTCCTTCAGCTTAAAATATTCAGTCTGCTAAGGTGCCTTATGTTCAGGTGGCACTTCCTGAATCCTGTCACTTCCATGGTAAACCTCCTCTGACCATGCTACTTCTCTCATCCATTCTCGTGTTGCCATCATAAATGAGCCTTCCCTCTGTCTTCCTTCCTCTGTTTTGCACCAGATGGAAGGAACCAGTGTCTTGGAATGGTTCCCACTGCCTGTCCCATATGGGGAGATGTGTTCCCAGTACCCCAGGTTGAAATTCTGAGTACATGTCCCCCAGAACCATCGTTATACTCTGTATAAGGTTCTTGGTCCATTATGGGTTAACTAAACCTTTTTAAAGGGCTACCCTGGGCATCTTGCCAAGATGTATAAATAGCTTTGTTTTCATGGGAAAATGTGTTTAAAGTTCTAAACAACTAATTTACACATGAACTCTTCTGTAAATTGGGGAATGTCTGCATGAATTACGGAGGAGTAGAAGAAGGGGACACACAAACCCAGGCTGTCTTAGTCATGTTTGGTTGATTTATTTTGTAATTCTATTCCCCTTATTCAGATTAAGTTTCTCACTTAAGGGAATAAATTTAGCATATTATGATATGCTTTGCTATCTTTCACCCATTTTTCCTCCAGATTTAAAAGTAGTGTGTGAAACTAAAAGATGAGTTTATACATTTTCAGCATCATCCTTATCTTTTAAAGACCATTTATTTCAACTGCTGGAAGATTTAGCCATATTTAAATCAGCTTTGTTTCGGAGCCATTAGGACTTAATGAAGGGCACTCTACTCTTGTGACTTTTTTTTCCCCATTACAAGTATGTGGTCTGGGGGGAATCGTGAAGGTCATATACGTCTACGTTAGAAAGGTGGAGAAACTAAATATAAGCTTAAATTAGATTGAAAATGCCAATTCTCATTCACTAACACCTAGAGTACACCTCTGTGATTATCATTTCATAGCTGATGAATCTGAGGCCTAGAGATTCAGTTAATGAGAGAGTTGTGACTAGATCCCAGGTCTCTAGATATCTGGCCCTGGCATTCAGAGATTTCGGGGGCTTAGCCAGAATGTAGGAATTTGAAAGGCAATTCCCTACTTCTGGATCGCCTGCTGTTTTGTAGTATGTTTCATATATTTTTTATGTGTAAGGCAATTAGGGTGTTGATGCCTTGTCTCGTAAGATTGTGATACTGAAAAATGTGATTGTAGAGGACTTAGGTGCCCAGATACTAAACACAAAGTGACTCAGTCATGGAAAGGAAACTAGTTGCTCCACAGCACGTGGGATCTTCCCGGACCAGGGCTCGAACCCACGTCCCCTGCATTGGCAGGTGGATTCTTAACCACTGCACCACCAGGAAAGCCCTCTCTCATATTTTTACATCTGCCACAGTGCAGTTCCCACTGACTGCCAAAGAAGCTGTGCGTGTGGACTTAGGAAGTAAGAGAAGAATGTGACTAAAATTCTTGGCAATTTTGAATTATAGTGCTTTCTGTAAAGAGAGCATTTCCTGGGCCCTTACTCTTTATAAACCGATAAGCAATACGTAGAAGATACAGCAGTACACCTTTCTTCACTCTACAAATAGGCTACTACTTCGGTGAAGTTTGAATATATTTCACGACCATTATAGCAAGCTGGGTAGAAAGTATTCCCACTATGAAATGAAGGGCCACAGGGGGTAAGCAAGAGCAGCATTTTCCCGTTGTATTGAAAGTGCTTTGAAGAGTATAAGAATAGTTCCTTCAGCCATAGGGCTTCAAACCATGGAGGACCAGTTGACTTATTGCTGGCTTGAAAAATATATTTGCCTGCTGTCCGTTTTGGGGACTTTCTTTGTTTAAAGAAAAGTACAGGCCCTGGTTGAACCTGCACAAAACATGGAGTTTGCATGACCAGAGAATGAATGGTGTGCCCCCAGGGCCGCTTCACAAACTGGCCTGTCTGTAGTACTTCTTTGGGCTTGCTCCTTGCCTGTTTTGCACTCGCGGGCGCCGTCAAGTGGCACCATCAGGAACTGAAGCTGCTAATGCAGAACCACTCCCTCTTCCACCAAGAACTGCTAAGAAACACATTTTTGCTTTTTCATATGGAGGAGTGAGACTGCTTTGAATCAAGAGTTATGGGGAAGCTATGAATTGACAATAATGAGTTGGAGATGTGTCTGGCCATTGGATCCTTAAGCAGCCATTGTGTTTGGTATCCTCTTAATTCTCAGGGTGAGAATTAGAAATTCATTGCAAGCTTTTCTTTATTGGAAGAAATTTTAATGCAGTCTTTCAAATAGCCAGGTGATTCCCTCATTTGGGGTAGTAGCAATTGTTAATTGTGGGATATAATGCTGATTTCGATTATTTTTATTTATTATTATTTTTTTTTTGCTGCGTTGGGTCTTTGTTGCTGTGTGCGGGCTTTCTCCAGTTGCGGCGAGCGGGGGCTACTCTTTGTTGCGGTGCGCAGGCTTCTCATTGCGGTGGCTTCTCTTTGTTGCGGAGCACGGGCTCTAGGCACATGGGCTTCAGTAGTTGCAGCACTCGGGCTCAGTAGTTGTGGCGCATGGGCTTAGTTGCTCTGTGGCATGGGGGATCTTCCCGGACCAGGGATCAAACCCGTGTCCCCTGCATTGGCAAGGGGATTCTCAACCGCTGTGCCACCAGAGAAGTCCCTAGATGATTTTTAAAGTCAAGCAACATTGATCAGGCATCTGCTACACCCAGGGTAGTATGGCTGGTGCTGGGTGTAATATGAGGTCTCTGTCCTCAGAGTCTTGAAGAATGGCCTGGGCAGCAAGCATGTGAATGAAAGTTAACAATGTGTCCAATGCCAAATGCGGACATGGATATCAGGCTCAGGGCTATCTCTAGGGTATTGCACAGGCAAACTGGGATTTGAGCCTTTGAGGGAAGGGAGACCTCAGCAGGCAGTGAAAGGCATTTGAGAGCCTGAGGCGTGGGCCAGCGTGCATGGGACTTGGGGTTCCGAGTGAGGGGACTAGGGAGGCTCAGGTGGAGAGTTCTGTTCCAGAAATAGAGGAAGTTGGAGTTGCAAAAAAGATTAGATTGTGAAGAACTTAACTGAGAGTTTGACTAGTTACATTTCTGTAAGAACGTACCAAAATAAGAGGGCACAATATCCCATGGATGAACTAATTTTGGGATGTATCTGTGAAGCAGTCTTAGTGCTTCTCCCCTCCCCCACCAGGCCCCCATTTAGGAAGCATTGAAGCTATTAAATGTGTGAATTGAAGGATTTTGGAGGAGTTGATCTTTAAAGTTTCTTTTATTCTTCACAATTTATAATTCCATGAAATTAAAAGTAACTTCTAAAAGGAACATCATTTTCAAAAAGACCTGTCTTAATTACATTTGATGGTAATTTGGTGGTAATTTCAAAGGGAATAGCTGGGTTACAAATATTACTAATAACTTCTAAGATCTAAAGGGTGAAAACCAGCCTTCTGTGATTTGGGTAAGAGAAAAAAAAAATAAAATGAAACTAGGGGTAAGATTGTAGGCAGAATGTATGTTCCAGGTGTACCTGATTGAGATAGGTGACAAAATTCCTTGCGCTTTCCAGCAGCCAAGTCAAAGAGGGACCCACAGCCTGCAGTTACACAATTTGCAGTGACAGATAAATAGAAGCATAGCTACTGCCACCAACTTAGTCTTCAGAAAAATGTTTTTTTCCTGTGGGCACTCATAAAGAGAATTCTCAGGAAGAATTCTCTCAACAGTATCTCCTTAGCTAATGTAGTGTCATATATCAAACGGACACTTTTTATAATGTCTCTCAGCCTAGACTGGTAACAGAACACCAAAGTGCAGTTCAGTACAAACAATTTTCTGAGGACCTGAATCTATGCAGTCTGGGGAAGGCAGTTCACTGGAGCTCTAGCTTAATTCAGAATAAAATGTGAGAATATGTAAAGCAGTGATTCTTGACTAGTGATTTTGTTTTGAATCATGCCTCCTTTGGGAAATTGATGATAAGTCTGGATCCTTCTTCTCGCCGATGCACATATGCATGATCTCACCAAATTTTGCATGTTATTTCAGTCAGTTCACAATTTCACAGGGTTCACACCATCACAGCTCTCACCAGCACTCATCCACAAACTCCAGGCTGCACATCCTTGGTCTAGAGTGGCAGGAAGACTACATACAGTAAGGAAACATGGTAAAAACCTGGAGCACAAGCATGTTTGTGCTGACAGAACAGATTCATCTGCTTAACAAGAAGCCAAATTGAAGATAAGATTGGTTTCCATTTATGAAAGCTGGTGAGTGTGATGGGACATGTCTGAACAAAAGACGTTTATTCCACTTTGGCAAGAATGTGGTCAGGAATGTGATTTTTCTTAGAGAGCAACTGAATATACTGTAGCACACTAAAAAGGATCCCAAAGCTCCCTCTTATAGAGAAAGCTATGGTAATTTAAGCCTAGAAAAATTGTAAGACAGATGTTACCAAGCAGCATCTGAGCTACTTTAAAAAAATACAAATCATTGGTATTTTTGGTATATTGTATTCTTGGCAAAGAGTTCATAGTATGTCTAACTTTAAGCACTTATAGGTTCTTGGTGAACCTAAAAAATCCTTGTGTAGTAGAATCTTGGGAAGCTGAATGATTTTGTTTGCTTTGGGGATTATCTTTGAGCCAGTTACATGTTGAAAACGTCTTGTTTGTTTATCCAGTTATGTTGGCTTAATATTTTCACTAGTTATAGTATTTTTGCATTGCAGTGTTTTAATCTTGGGTGCTTCAGGCGGAGTTGGTACTTTTGCTATACAGGTAAGACAATTTCTTTATCTTGTGAATAGGAAGATTATTATTTTCATGAATTTATAAATTTATATATTGTGAACTATTTTTCCTGGAAAGGTGAGAGAAATTACATTCATTGTGATTTCAGCTTGCTCTTCTAAGAAGGAAATTTTCTAATGTAGAAGGAAGTGTTAACCTTTCCAGTGGTTTAATATATGAGTGAGTTTGTGGCTGACCTATATAACAAATGTAGGAAAGCTTTTAAGGAGGAAGACCATGGGCAGTGAAAGTGGATGGAAGTTTGCAATTCTGTAGAAATTGATAAGCTGGTTCTAAAATATATATAGAAATGCAATAGCCAAAATGCTGTATAAAAATGACAATACTCCCCCAAAGTGATCTACAGATTCAGTGCAGTCTTATCAAAATGGCAGCTGCCTTTTTTTTGCATAAATGAGCAAGCTGAACCTAAAATGCATATGGAGTTGCAAGGGACCCCAAATTGCCAAACCATCTTGAAAAAGAACAAAATTGGAGGACTCACACTTCTCTAATTTAAAACTTACTTACAAAACTACAGTAATCAAAACAGTGGTACTGGCATAAAGATAGATATATAGATCAATGGAACAGAATAGAGCATCCAGAAATAAACCTATGGTCAGTTGATTTACTTTTTAAAGGTTTATTTTATTTTATTTTTGGCCACACCATGCGGCATGTAGGATCTTAGTTCCCCAGCCAGGGATCCAACACGTGCCCCCCTGCAGTGGAAGCACAGATTCTTAACCACTGGACCACCAGGGAAGTCCCAGTGGCCAATTGATTTTTTACCTGGGTGGCAAGACCATTAAACAGGGGAAAGAATAGTCTTTTCAGTGAATGGTACTGGGGCAACTAGATGCACATGCAAAAGGATGAAGTTGGACCTCTACCTCACGTCATATGTGAAAACTAATTCAAACTGGGTTAAAGACCTAAATGTAAGAGCTAAAACCATAAAACTCTTAGAAGGAAACATAGGAGTAAATCTTCATACATTGGGTTTGGCAATAGGTTCTTAGAGATGACAGCAAAAGCACAAGCAAAAGAAGAAAAAATTAGATGAATTGGACTTGATTAAATTCAAAACTTTTGTGCATCAAATGATACTATCAAGAAAGTAAAAAGACAACACACAGAATAGGAGCAGATATTTACAAATCACTTATCTAATAAAGGTATGGTATCCGGAATATGTAAAGAACTCTCACAACTCAACAACAAAAAGACAATCCAGTTAAAAAATCAACAAAGGACTTGAATAGACATTTCTTCAAAGAAGATATAAAAATGGGTAGGAGGTCGATGGAAAGATGTTCAACATCATTAGTCATTAGGGAAATGCAAATCAAAGCCACAATTGAATGATTGGCTTAAGGAGATGTGTGTGTGTGTGTGTGTGTGTGTGTATGTGTATGTATGTATACACAAAGTAATATTATTCAGCCATAAAATATGAAATATTGCCATCTGTAGCAACATGGATGGACCTAGAGAATATTATGCTTAGTGAAATAAGTCAGAGAAAGATGAATACTATATGGTATCACATATATGTGGAATCTAAAAAAAAGTAATACAAATGAATCTATATACAAAACAGAAACAGACTCACAGACATAGAAAACAAACATATGGTTACCAAAGGGGAGGGGGGAAGGGACAAATTAGGAGTATAGGATCAATAGATACAAACTACTATCCATAAAATAGATAAGCAACAAGGATTTACTGTGTAGCACAGGGAATTATACCCAATATCTTCTAATAACTTATAATGGAATATAATATGCGAAAAACCCCTGAATATCTGAAATTAACACAATATTGTAAATCAACTACACTTCAGTTAAAAGAAAACCCAGTGAGATATCACTTCACACCTACTAGGATGGCTATTAAAAAAATGGAAAATAACAGTGTTGGCAAGGATGTAGAGAAATTGAAACCCTCATATATTGCTAGTGGGAATGTAAAATGGTGCAGCTACAGTGGGAAACAATTGGGCAGTTTCTTAAAATTCTTAATTCTACGTTGAACATAGAATTACCCTATGACCCAGCGATTCCATTTCTAGGTATATACCCGAGAGAAATGAAAACCTATGTTCAAACAAAAACTTACATACAAATGTTCATAGCAGCATCAATATTCATAATGGACAAAGAAATGGCAGCAACCCTAATGTACCAACTGATGAATAGAAAAACAAAATGTGGTATATATACACAATGGAATGTTATTTAGCCATCAAAAGGAGTGAAATCCTGACACATGATACAACACGGATAAACCTTCAAAACATTATGCTCAGTGAAAGAATTCAGACACAAAAGGTCACATTTTTGTATGATTCCATTTATGTCATGTCCAGAAGAGGCAAATCCATAGAGACAGAAAGCGGATTAGTGGTTGCCAGGGGCTGGGGGAAGAGGGAATGGGGAATGACTGCTCGATGGGTGTGGGTTTATGTTTGGGGTAAGGAAAATGTTCTGGAATTAGATAGTGGTGATAGTTGCACAACATTGTACTAAAAGCCACTGAATTATACACTCTAAAATTGTTAAAATTATAAATTTTGTGTAAATTTTACCTCAGACAAAACAAACAAAGCAAAGTGCCCCAAGCCTCTAGGAACAGGATGGCATCTAGTGGCTGTTCCCATTGTGGTCACATGTTTAACTGGCCGGCTGCTGGGAGAGCAGGCTTGATTGAGCCTCGCTCAGGATGAGGGGAGAGGCCCTTTCCCTTTCCCCAATAGGGGCTAGTGAGCGCACTCAGAGGCTCTGCCACATGGCTTTAGGGGAGGGAGAATTTTGGTGCCATCCTCCTCCCCAGACCCCGCCTCAGACCTTTTGAGGACCAGGATAGTGCTGGAGTTTCTCATCCACCTGCTCACTGAATTGGGAGAGAGGGGAAAGGACTCCCAGGAGATTCACACCTTGCCTTCTTTCTAATTCACCATTAGATACTGCTATGGTCTGAATGTTTATGTCCCTCCAAACTTCATATGTTGAAGTCCTGATGCCCAAAGTGATGGTATGGGGGTCTTTGGGAAGTGATTAGGTTATGAGGGCAGAGCATTCGTGAATGAGATTAATGCCCTTATGAAAGAGGCCCAGCAGAGCTCCTTAGCCCTTCTACCATGTGAGGACACAGAGAGGGCACTGGCTATAAACCAGGAAGAGGGCTCTGAACACATCAAGGTGTTGACACCTTGATCTCAGACTTCCAGCCTCCAGAACTGTGAGAAATACGTTTCTGTTGTTTATAAAGTACCCAGTCCGTGGTATGTTGTTATAGCAGCCCAAATGGACTAAGACAGATACCCAGGGCCTAGTCCACAGATTGTCAGTAAATGTGGGTTAATGAACAAGTAAATGGAAGAAAGGAAAAGAGGGAGGAAGGGAGGGAGAAAAAGAGAAATATCATGCCCTGCTGATTAGAATGTAATTGGTACAACCAGTTTGGAAAATAATTTGGCACCATCTGGTAACTGTGAATATACATTGCTCTATGACGACCTAACAGTTTTACGAATGTACTCTGTAGATAGGCATATGGTCATCCCTCAGTATACCAACCTCAGAACCAACCTCAGATTGGTTCCAGGATCCCCTTGGATACCAAAATCCACGGGTGCTCAAGTCCCTTATATAAAATGGCATAGTATCTGTATATAACCTACACACATCCTCCTGTATAATTTAAATATTCTTTAGATTACTTGTAATACCTAAACACAATGTAAATGCTCTGTAAATAGTTGCAAGTATACTGTTAATTCAGGTTTTGCTTTTCGGAACTTTCAAATTTTTTTCCCAAATATTTTCAATCCCTGGTTGGTTGGTTGAATTCAACAATGTGGAGTTCTTGGATACAGAAGGTCAACTGTACATGCATGTTCACCAAAAGATGTGTACCAGAGTTACATGTATTATCCCCCAACTGGAAACAACTCAGATGGCCATCAACAGTAAAATGGGGAAGTAAATTGCAGTATATTCTTACACTGAAACGTTACACAGCCATGGAAACAAACTATAGTTGTGTGCAATGAAGTAGATGAATCTTACAAGTAGGAAGAAGTCAGAAACAAGAGTACACCTTATATGGTTCCATTTAATGACACTCAGGAACTGGTGAAACTATACAATAGTGTTTAAGGCTGCTTATCTAGATAGTAAATCTCTTTACAAAAAGGCGAGGGGAGGCTCATGTAGAACTCCTGATAGTTGTTATTACTTCTAAGGGAGTGAGGGGGGGTTTTGACTGGGAGGGGGAAGTGAGGAGATGTTCTAGTTCTTAATCTTGAGTGATGCTTAAAATAGTATTTGCTTTACAATAATTTGTTAAGCTGTACATTTATATTCCATGCACTTTGCGTGTTATGTTTCACAATGAACATATTTTAATAAGATTAAACAGTTGAGTAGTAGATAAATATCAAGGTAGAATAACATACCTACAGACAATTAAAACACATTGGAAAACATCAAAATGAAACCTGCAGTTTCAAAAACAAGCTAAAAAAACAACTAAAAATACGATAGAGGGCTTCCCTGGTATTGCAGTGGTTAAGAAGGTTCGAGCCCTGGTCCAGGAAGATCCCACATGCCACAGAGCAACTAAGCCCGTGCGCCACAACTACCGAAGCCTGTGCGCCTAGTGCCTGTGCTCCACAACAAGAGAAGCCACCGCAATGAGAGGCCTGCGCATGGCAATGAAGAGTAGCCCCCGCTCGTTGCAACTAGAGAAAGCCTGCACAGCAACAAAGACCCAATGCAGCCAAAAATAAATAAATTAATTAATTAAAAATAAATTAATATATCTAAAAAAATACGATAGAGAGCATGAAAGAACGAAATAAATCATAATTGGAAAACTCAGGAAAAAAGTAAAAAAAAATTAGCAATGAAGACTAAACTAGAAGGAACTCAATAACAAACACAACACATAATGCTGGCCTGATAGAATGTGTAAACAGGAAAAATTGTAAATTACGAAAGAAAGGAAGCGATAAAGACAGATTCAGAGAAAGTGTCACATATTGAAGACAGGAACAAAGATTGCTATATGGATAATAGGAGTTTCTGAAGAAGAAAACCTAAACAAGGGGATAGAACAAATACTAAAATCAGTAATTCAAGAAACTTCCCTGCTTTCCTGAAGTTAAATGATTTGAAACTACGTATTAAATAACCAAAGCACTTATCTAAGAACATGGACCCAGAATGAGCAATATCCAGGGGAACTCTAGTAAAATTACTGGCACTTAAAGAAAAAGCAGAAACAAAAAAAACCTTGGGACATTTTTTGTTTTTGTTTTTTTTTTTGGCTGTGTTGGGTCTTCATTGCTGCGTGCGGGCTCTCTCTAGTTGCGGCGAGCTGGGGCTACTCTTTGTTGCACGGGCTTCTCATTGCGGTGGCTTCTCTTGTTGCAGAGCACGGGCTCTAGGGTGCGTGGGCTTCAGTAGTTGTGGTGTGTGGGCTCAGTAGTTGTGGCTCGCGGGCTTAGTTGCTCCGCGGCATGTGGGATCTTCCCAGACCGGGGCTCGAACCCGTGTCCCCTGCATTGGCAGGCGGATTCTTAACTGCTGCGCCACCAGGTTTTTTGCTTGTTTTTTTTGTTTTACAAGGGGAGGAAAGTAGTTTTATTGAGTACACACTAGATGCTAGATACAATATCCTGGTTGCATTTAATTATTTTAATGTCTAATCCTCTGACAAAACTATAAGGTGGGCATTACTATTCTTATTTCACAAATGAGAAAACCAAGGCTGACAGAGGATATAATGAAAGGAACTTGGAAAGAAAGATAATTAAAGTCAAACTTGGTCTTTATGATCTAGAATTGAGTCAAGTGGTTAAGTAGAGGAAGTTTCTCCATAGTACTGCCTTCACGTTTCCCTTTTGGGACTGATTCTTTTTCTTCTTTTTTTTTTTAAACATCTTTATTGGAGTATAATTGCTTTACAATAGTGTGTTAGTTTCTGCTTTATACACCAGTTTTTTTTTTTTAAGAAAAAAAAAGTGTTATTTTTTTTAAAAAAAGAGCATGTGACATGTAAGTAAAATTCAATTATCAGCAGACTTTTTGACAACAGTGCTCTAATGCTAGTGGAGGCAGCAGGGATGGAGTAACATATTTAAGACACTTGAGAAGGAATATGCTAAGAATTTTATATACAGCAAAACTGGGCTCCAAACACTAAAGGGCACATACGAACTGTTAATAACATGCAACAACTTGGGGAATATGTTCTTCTGATCCCTTTCTGAGAAATCTACTAGAAAATGAGCTTCTGAAAACTAAAATAGCTAGAGAGACATCGAACCAAGGACTGGTGGTAAATGTTAAATATAAAGTTATCTGTAGAACTAAAACTAAATGAGGGCTTAGAAAAAGAGAGTATAGTGTGTAACAGCCATATGCTCTGACAAGGTAAACAGTACAACTGTTTTTAAAAAGTGGAGGAACAGAGAGCATATATTAAAATTATTTTAATCCTTTCATTAATCATATTGGTAGTGATATTAGTACTATTATTCAGAGACTGTTATGTTGTAATATACAGTGGAACAGTTGGGTATTTATGGCATATTTTAATTCTGTCATCCCCTTTGTCTTTGACAACCAGGGTTTTAGGAGTGGAGGAAAGGAGATACAGATGTAACAGAAAAGAGGTTAAGTAAAAGCTTGACAGTCTGGAATTTGAATTGGAAGTATCAATCTGAACTCAAGAGATATTTTGTATATGTATGTATGTAAAGCTGTCTCTTGAAATATCATTGCTTACACGCAGAAAAAAATGCAGCGCCTTGGAGAAATGGCAGATTCCAGATCTAGGGCGCAAAATGTACGAGAATGAGCCTAAAATATATTAATAGCAAGGAAGTTAGTAAAGACTAGTTGAGCCATGTCAAAAAGACTTGGGAGCCAACTTGAAGAAACTCCCAAAGATCGTCAAAGAAGACAATTTGAGATTCAGTAATCATAATGATAATTACAGTGAATTGAAATCCTTCAACTATGTTTAAATCCATGAGTTCATGATGATATTTTTAAAAAAGTGGTCACTTTTGGAAGATGATAGGAAACGAATTTATTATTTTATAAACTGAAAAAAGGAAAAAATTATTGGCCTTTTCTATATGAACTGTACACCTGAGTAAACTAATATATGAGGAGAGGTGTTTCTTTATAAAAGTATTCCAACTACTAAATGAAAAAGGGAGAGAGAATATCACCATTTTGCAACCACCAGTAGACAGCCACTGAGATAATAAAAAGGGCAACAACCAGATATGCTATGCATCCTATAATTTTGCCAGACACTATTCATAGTCTTACTAAATGGATTGAAACAGAAGATACAGAGGACAGAGTAACAGGTAGAACTGTCCCAGGTGTGCAATCAGAAACTCCAGAGTTTCCAGTGGGAAAAACTCTGCAGGTCACATGGCCTAGATTCTTTCACAGATAAATTTTAAGAAAGTGAAGGGGATAGGGACTTCCCTGGTGGTCCCGTGGCTAAGACTCCACACTCCCAATGCAGGGTGCCTGGTTTGATCCCTGGTCAGGGAACTAGATCCCACATGTTGCAATGAAGATCCTGAGTGCTGCAACTAAGACCCAGCACAGTCAAATAAATCGATAGGTAGGTAGGTAAGACTAAACTGTGGTATCTAGGGAATGCATATATGGGTGATAAAACCTTTTTTTTTTTAATGCAAGGAGGTGATTACTATAAATATCAGGGCAATGGTGACTTGTGTGGGGACCGGGCACAGGGAAGAGCTTTTGGAGTGGCAGCCAGCTTGCTGTCTCTGTCTGAGTGTCTCTGCCTTACAGACGTCTCTTATACTTGTGTTTTAGTTTACATAAAATAGTAAAACAACTAAAGCTGTTTTAAAACCTTTTAGTAGTGTGCAAAGATATTAGATAGTTCTAAGTGGGAGAGGAAAATCTAGAAATTTGGAAAAAAATTCATTGAACTGTTTCAAGATATGACAGATTCTTCCTGAGGATTTAATACTGTTTAAGGAAAACACAAATATAGGTGCTTAGAACACAATTTCCTTTTTCCTTGACAGTTTCTTTTTTTATACAGATACTGGATGGTTATCTTGGATTGTATTCTTCACATATTTGAATTTAGTTTGGGACTTGCTGTTGAAAGCAACATGTCATTATAATCAAGTGTCTCTGTTTGTGGCCCATAAACTTAAACTATCATATATCATGTCAGTCCCTAAATGTTTTAATTCCCCTCAGATTTCCAGGGCATATTCCTTGGTCAGTATTACTTTTTAAAAGTGAGAGATAAGATTGTGAGTAGTTTTTAAATCCTTTATTGTTTTTTGTTTTTAGCAGATCTCCAGCATCTGTGTGTACCACAGAATGGGGATTCAGTAGTGAACAGAACAAACACAGATCTCGTATATTCTAGTGAACCTCTGCAACTTATATTAGGGAAGTTCAGGAAATTGGTATTGAGGACAGGAGTGAGAAAACAGCTGATTTGTTATGACCTATAACTGCCCATTTGAAAATTTCTCAGTGGACTTCAAGTAACTGTTCTCAAATTTTGCTGATGATGGCTCCCTTTTAATTCTATCAAATTGTCATTATAGAAAGCAACTGTAGTAATTTTGGAGCATGATGCTTTCTGGATACTTAATCCTGAATCCTTTTTTTTTAAGTCTAGTTATTTTAAAATATATTATTTTTAAAATATAAGGTATCTGCATTTTAAATCCTCCAAACCATTTATTTAGGTCTTTTTACTCCAAAGGAGAGGACCTGATGCATGTTTTAAAAGTAAAATGGGGCTTCCCTGGTGGCGCAGTGGTTGAGAGTCCGCCTGCTGATGCAGGGGACACGGGTTCGTGCCCCGGTCCGGGAAGTTCCCACATGCCGCGGAGCGGCTGGGCCCGTGAGCCATGGCCGCTGAGCCTGTGCGTCCGGAGCCTGTGCTCCACAACGGGAGAGGCCACAACAGTGAGAGGCCCGCGTACTGCAAAAAAAAAAAAAAAAAAGTAAAATGGCCATGTTTTCTTCCCCTCTTTTTTTTTTTTTTTGGCTGTGGTGGGTCTTACTTGCAGAGCGTGGGCTTCTCTCTAGTTGTGGCGTGTGGGCCTCTCTCTAGTTGTGGCTTGTGGGTTTTCTCTCTCTAGTCGTGGCGCGTGTGTTCCGCAGTTTGCGGCTCACAGGCTCTCTTGTTGAGGTGTGCGAACTCAGCAGTTGTGCACGGGCCTAGTTACCCCGCAGCACATGGATTGCTAGTTCTCCGACCAGGGATCAAACCCGTGTCCCCTGCATTGCAAGATGGATTCTTTACCACTGGACTACCAGGGAAGTCCCTTCTTCCCCTCTTTTTAAGAGCACCTTTCATTTATTACCCAGTACCTGATTACCCAGTTGTCTGACTCAAGATTATACTAACACTTACCGGAGATGCAAATGAAGAGATGTTGTGTTTTTATGTTTTGGGCGCATTTTAAATATTCATCTTCTGAGGACATGATTTTTTTTTTTCCCATTTTCCTTTGTCATCATTGAAAATGCTGAGCTTAAGGCCATCAACTCCTGTCTTTTCTGATGCTGGTGAGGCACTGAGCCCTTCTGTAATTGGATTGGTTATAACTTCATGACAGCAAGGCGACTAACTGTCTCGTCCAGGGAAAATGAGATCTATCTCTTGGATTTTTCTTAGTGAACAAAAGTTTAATCATTTTACTAGTCTCTGGCAGATAGCTTCCTGTAGCTCTTGTTAAGACAGAGCACTTAGAATTGTCTAGAGATTAACCTGATATATGTATACATGGTGCCAACTATTTTTTATTTAATTCAGTTTTTCTACTCCCCTCCCCCCTTTTCTTTCCTTTTTTGGGCAGGTAATGAAAGCGTGGGATGCTCACGTGACAGCAGTCTGCTCTCAGGACGCCAGTGGACTTGTAAGGAAGCTCGGGGCAGATGATGTAATTGATTACAAATCCGGGAATATGGAAGAGCAGTTGAAACATTTAAAGCCGTATGTATTCAAGCAATGTTCATATTGGGAAGGTGGGAACAAAGACAGCTGATAATGCAAGCCTGAGATGGTTGGGTGAGTCTTAGACAAGAATCTATGAAAACACTCCATGTCTCCAGAGGTTATTTGGGTTGGTTTCTGTTTTAACTCCAGATGTTAATACAGCACGATCGTGGAATGTAATTTGTACCGAGGAAGACATTTTGCCTACCTAGCCTTTTGCTAATTTTTTTTTTTTTTGCGGCACGCGGGCCTCCCACTGCTGTGGCCTCCCCTGCCGTGGAGCACAGGCTCTGGACGCGCAGGCCCAGCGGCCACGGCCCACTGGCCCAGCCGCTTCGCGGCATGCGGGATTCCCCCCAGACCGGGGCACGAACCCGCGTCCCCTGCATCGGCAGGCGGACTCCCAACCACTGCGCCACTAGGGAAGCCCCCTTTTGCTAATTTTTAAGTTAACTTCCTTTTATTGCTCGTGTGTAATAGGTCCGAAGGCAAAATTGGAAGTGTATTCCCTCCGGGGCATTTGACACCACAAGAAGAACATAGAGCAGTACGTGAAATACATGATTAGTGTTTTGGCTTCATAATGAGGGTTTCAGAGAAGCAAAGGCAGTATAGATATCAGTAATGGGACTCCGTGGATGTTCTCGGTGCGTCCTGGTGAATGCCAGGCTGTGGTCTGACGGAGTGTACCAAGTGAGAGCGGATTCAGGAATTCTCTCAGGCCCTGTCCATCCTGACTGTGGCTCGGGCAGGGACGGGGGTGCTTAGGAATCTGGTCTTCACCCAGCCCAGGCAAAGCTGCAGCGGAGAGCGTGCCTGAGGAGTATTTGGAAAGCTGTTTACTGCTTCTATTTCAAAGATTTTTCCTTTTTTAAATTAGTTTTCAGAAGCTAATTATTCTTGCCCACTTTAAGTAGAAGTATATTTTCATGGGTTAAAAAAAAAAGGAGACAAAGGGAGCCCCTATCTGACACAGCCCAGACTCTCAGCCAGCACCCCAACTCCCAACAGTAGATGTTTGGCTGTACAGCCGGGAGCAGCCGGCCACTCATCGTCCTGGAGCTCTTTATGGAATGTCCCTTCCTGCTCGGCAGTGTTCTAAGCACAGGCTAAGACACAGTGGCGAACAAGACACATTGCCCCCTTTCGTGGGCTTGTATTCTAGTGGTTAGTGCTCTCAAGAACACTGATGCAGCGAAAGGGGGGAAAGAAAGGCTGTTTTAGAAGGAGGAGGCTGTTTGCCATGGTGTGGTTGAAGAATGCCTCTAAGTGAGGCATTTGGGCAGAGGCTTCAGGAGCAAGCCAGGAGGATAGGACTTCTTTTTGTTGGGGGCAGGGGTCTTGTTCCCTGCTGTGTCCCCCTCCACCCCGGGATGGTGTAGTGACCTACAGTCAATATTTGTTTAATGACTTGTTGAGGGAATCTAGGAGAGGAACACTTGTTCCAGGTGGGATAACACCCAATGTAAAGCCCCTGTGGCAGGAACACGCTCTATGGCACATTTGAGGACTAACGCTGTCCCTTGAGGAGATCCCTGCCTGTGTGGCAGGACCGAGGCTTCCAGATAGTGGTAGTTTCGGTCAATCACCTCTCTTCCGCTGCTTCTAGGAATAGCAGCAGAGAGAGGCCAAGGCCCACCCTTTACCCCCATCCACCTTGAGTTTTTTGCATGTCTGGAACCTTTTGCCAGAGAATAGAGACCCTGACGGGTGAAGGCGAGAGCGCACCCAGGCTAGCCTCCCACCCTGCACCTCACTCTCTTCCTCCGAGTCTCCGCCCGGCGGCCTTGCCCCTTCTGCTTGCTCTTGTCCAGTCGGGGACCTCACCAGCTCGCAAATGCAGGCTATTGTTTTTTTAATGATCGCTTTAGTTAAAATTGATCTTTGTAACTTCTGCCTGGAGGTTGGCCTCTTAATCCACCCAGAATAAATGTGTTCCTCCTTCCAAATAGCAGCCTTTTGGATTTGAATCCTAGGATTTTACAGCAGGAAAGGGCTTTGAAATCCTTCAGTCCTTCTCTATGGCATTATAGTCGAGAAAATAAGGGGCAGAGGATTTAGGAGTTTTTTTCATGCTCAGGGTCATGCCACTTAATCATTAGTGGGAGAGCTGGGTCTAGAGCCTGGTCTCTGGACTTCTTTTTGCAGGCAGTGCCAGTTCTGTAATACCAGGCTGCCCTTAAGTTTTATCTAAATTAAGTGCCATCGTGTTTGTTTATCCAAAATTTGGGAATGAAATAGGAACTTAAAAGTAGAAACTTAAGCAGAAACGTAAACTCATAAAGAAGAATTTTTCTGTTCTTTTCTAATGAGAATAGTCATCTAGTAAGGTCATTCTCCTGCACTTCATATCTTTTAATTTTTATTTGCCCTTCTTTAGTCCCATGAAAGAACTCAAGAGCCACAAAGTTGGCCAAAGCTGGTTTTAGGAGCTTTGACGTTCATCCAGATGAATTTAGGAGGGAAAAAGGACTTACCAAAAAGGAATTCCTCTGTTAATTTGCTTAATATATAAGCATGCATTCTCTAAACAGATCTTTATTTTCTAAAGTATTTTAAAGCTTCATTGGGTTCTATCCCCTTTAAGTAGAATGTAGCGATTATAGCAATTTTAGGTTAGATTTCAGGAGCTGAATATCTGTCAGTTCCTGTGCATTCCATTATGACTGCATTTTTTTGGCATGTTAGAGCAGAGCTGAAGACTGAGAGCAGGCTGTTGATTTCTCTTTTGCTTTGTGCTGATGTGCATGAAACCAAAAGAAGAAAATTCCATAAGGTGAAGAGGATGCTTCTACAAGCAGTTCTGATTGTGGAGGGGATACAAGCAAATGACTTGTGCGGGTCAAAACCTAATACACTTTTCTCTCAAGTGAACGAAAGAGTACTTTGACTTCACATTGGATGGATAGCTTTGCAGTTTTCTATAAAGCTTGAGTCAGGGTTTCTCAGCCTTGGCAACCTTAGTTTCTCAACTACTGACATTTTGGGCTGGATAATTTTTTGTTGTGGGGGGCTGTTCTGTGCGTTGTAGGATGTTTATCATCATCCCTGGCCTCTAGATGCCAGTACCCCCTTCCCACCGCCTCCCCCAACGGTCACAACTAAAAATGTCTCTAGACATTGCCTTATATGTCTCCTGGGGGCCAAAATCACCCTCGGTTGAAAACCACTTGTTTAAGTCATTCTTAAAGTATTTGAAAATAATATGATTTTATGATTTAAAAAAATGACATTGACTTATGGTGGAGAAAACCCAGAGATCCAGTAAGTGGGTGTGCCCTTTTCTCCTTTGTCCGGGCATCCACCCCCTGCTGTCTGCGAGCTGTCACGGAAACAAACCCTGTAGCTAACTGGCGCTGGGAGTGAAGGCGGCTTGGAGCCCTGGATAAAGGCTGACCAGGATGTTTTGATTTGATTCTTTCTCTCCAGGTTTGATTTTATTCTCGACAGTGTTGGTGGATCCACCGAAACATGGGCTCTAAATTTTCTCAAGAAGTGGTCAGGAGCCACGTATGTGACTTTGGTGACTCCTTTCCTCCTGAACATGGACCGGTTGGGCATAGCGGATGGCATGTTGCAGACAGGCGTCACCGTGGGCTCTAAGACATTGAAGGTAGGGGGAGAGTCTTGGTTGGTGAGAGCAAGCAGGCACCTGGGGCTTCTGGAATTTGGTTTCCTCCTAGCCAGTTTCTTTGCTCATGGAGCCAGCACAGCACAGTGGCTGCAAGCAGGGCTCTGGAGTCACGTACTGACGGGGTACAAATTCTAGCCTCCACTTGGTAGCTGTGTAGCCCCGTGCAAGTTACTTAGCGTCACTAAGCCTCAACACCTTCACCTGAGAAATGAGGCTAATGGTGTATCTCCCTTACTGTATGTTGTAAGGATTAAATAAGATAATCTACCCATGTGAAGAACTTGGCACAATGCCTGGTACCCAAGACACTCCTATTAAATGTTAGCCTTTATTTATTTATTTTTAAAATTTATTTATTTATTTTTGGTGCGTTGGGTCTTTGCTGCGTGAGGGCTTTCTCTAGTTGCGGTGAGCGGGGGCTACTCTTCGTTGCGGCGTGTGGGCTTCTCATTGCGGTGGCTTCTCTTGTTGTGGAGCACGGGCTCTAGGTGCGCAGGCTTCAGTACTTGTGGCACACGGGCTCAGTAGTTGTGGCTCGTGGGCTCTAGAGCGCAGGCTCAGTATTGTGGCGCATGGGCTTAGTTGCTCGCGGCACGTGGGATCTTCCCGGACCAGGGCTCGAACCCGTGTCCCCTGCATTGGCAGGCGGATTCTTAACCAGTGTGCCACCAGGGAAGTCCCGTTAAATGTTAGCCTTTATTACTAGCTATTATTACCGCTCCTGATTCCATCTGATACACCTTCCGCTTTTTTCTTGTCTGCACCTGATGGCTCTCTGTTTCACTGTCTTAATGCATACAGTTTCTTGTATATGATGGCAGAAGCTTCATTAAGACAGCGTAGAGCTGGCTGTTTTCATGGTAGTAACACTGGGATATGCCAGTGACTCCCAGACTGGGGATTTTGGACCTTCAGAGGTCCATGGGAATTTTTTTGAATTTCAAAAGCCTGAAGGAAGGGGCTTCCCTGGTGGCACAGTGGTTAAGAATCCACCTGCCAATGCAGGGGACACGGGTTCGAGCCCTGGTCCGGGAAGATTCCACATGCTGTGAAGCAACTAAGCCTGTGCGCCACAACTACTGAGCCTGTGCTCTAGAGCCTGTGCTCCGCAACAAGAGAAGCCACCGCAATGAGAAGCCCGTGCACTGCAATGAAGAGTAGCCCCCGCTCACCGCAACTAGAGAAAGCCCACGTGCAACAACAAAGACCCAACTCAGCCCCCCCAAAAAATTAATTAATCAATTTAAAAAAAAAGCTGAAGGAAATTGTATTCTTCCATCAGTGAGCCTACAAAGACTAATGGAACCATCATGCTTCTTCTGGAATTGTATCAACTTGTCTTGACAGTACATGTCCCATGTGAATCAGAAACTCTAACTATTGATGGCATTCTGGGGGTTTCAAAGATTTGATTAGTCAGCCTGATTTTGTTAACAGGGCCGTAAGGAGCTATGTCACCCAACTGAACACATCCCGTGCATGGTGGGCCTTCAGGACTAGTGCAGATCAGCCCTAGTACAGGACTGATAGGAGAGCTCCAGAGTCTGCTCTCTACCCGACATGACAGTGGTGACAGAGGCTTATAATTTCATGTTATGCACTGTTGGTAATTATAGCTTATTGGTTTAAAATGTGAATTAGTGTTGAAATGAAATAAGTGACAAGAAAATATACATTCTGTTTTTTTTTTTTTAATTAGACAAAATACTTCAGGCTCAGGAAAAAGGCAGTAGAAGGTTCCTCAAGGGTGAAAAGGTTGTGAGTCACGTCGACCTAGCCAGCACTGCCATGTATTTGCAAGATGACTGGCTTGATAATTCTCTTTAGCTTCTTGATTCTCGAAATTAATTTGGAACCTTTTGGGGGCTGAAGTTTAGGACTCTGGTCTCTTGAATGCTGTGTACTAAGTCCTTAGAGGTGGTGAAGAAGAGCTGTGATGGAGGAGACTGCTGCTCAGTCCTTAGGAGCTGGGTCTGGGTGATAGGAGTGAACAAACCGGGCGCTGTGCTCCGGGTTCTTTAGTTTCACTTGGTTCAGACGGCAGCCAGCAGCAGTGTCCACGGGGCGCTTTGTGGTGGAGGAAGGAATCTTAGCTGTCCTTTGTCTCTTCTTTCTCTTTTCATGAAACTCGGGCTTCCCAACTGCTTTAAGATATAAGTTTAAGTTTTCCATAAAATTTCACAGTTTGAATTGCAGTGGGACCTCTTATAAGTTGAGCTTCAGAGCTATCCTCCGAGAGTAAGACAGGCACAGCTCTCTTCGTTTCCCTTTCCCCCGTCTTGAAAGATGATAGTGGTAATCTCACGTGAAAACCTTTTAAGTAGTTTCTGATGTCTTTCTGAGAATGTGCACAGTTAAAGCCTCATTGTAATGCCTGCCTGCTTTGGTTTACTCTCTCCTGTAATGGCCTGGAAAACCTACACAGACCTCTTAGAGCAGAATATAAAAATTCTGCTGTTGCAGACCAAACGTTTCACTTTACAGGGCAGCCTGCTGTAAAGGAATTACAGATATGGCAGTTATGACCACCGCTGTTCCTCTTTAAAACTCTGAACAGTGATCAGAAGGTTTTAATTATAGTCTGTAAAACCAGTCCTATGGAGAAGTACATGAACAGGTCTTCTGTGATTGTAATTAACTGGACCTGCTCTAAGCTTGGGACAGTCCCAGTGCCTCTGGTGTCTAGCCACCTAAGCCTTCAAATGTTTTTTTTTGTTTGTTTGTTTGTTTTTAAGTTAGTTGTCTAGACCAATGCTTCCTGACCTCTTTCATGCTCTGACATGCAGAGAAAATGATAGTATTTGAATAGCATATCGAGACCACTCTGGGCCAAGAGCAAACTACCTGGAGGCTTGCGTTAGCCCAGGCTCTGCCCTGCTACTCCGAGGGCTTGTCATACCTATTCTAGGGTGAGCTTGGCTCTATTTACATCTGTGGTCCTGAGATAATGATCAGTGGTGACCCCTTTAACTCTTACAAGTTGTTCCAGGTTAGACAATAAGGGTCACTCAGCCAAACCAGTAAGCTGTTCCTGGCGCACTCATTGCGAAGCTCTGCCTAGACCACAGCTTGGGTTTGTCTGTCTCTCCGCAATCTTAAACTCTATTTGCATTGCCCCAGTCTTTCCTCAGTAAGCTTTACTTTCAGCACTAGGTAAATATTTATCAAATATTTTCGATGTGTCAGGCACCTTACATACATTCTCATTTAGTTCCTCCAGCCCCCCTGTCAGCTAGGTGGTGGTACCTCCATTCTGCAGGCCGGGAAACAGGCTGAAAGTGGTAGCTTGCCCTAAATAACACAACTGTCAAGGCCTGAGGTAGAGTAGCAGGGGAGTTCCACTGCACCTGCCGGCTTCATGCCGTGATGGTAGCTGATCATCATGCTGAGATTGTGCGGTGAGCTCAGTGGACAAAGTCTGAGCTCGCCCAGCAGTTGGGGCAGGTGCAGGGAGGGTGGCGGCGGGGAGATACTGGCTGGCCCCCCTCCTGCTTCTGGGTCACTCCCGTCTGATGAAGTTTAGTTGGGCAGGTCGTTGAGGTATCACTGAGAACCTCAGCTCACTTGCTGTTTTGATAATGGCCTACCCTACCTCCGACATAAAGAATAATAATCAAAGTGGCTATGGCAGTAGAGTGGTCATGAACCCTCTTGGTGTAAGATTTTTGCCTGTCTTCACCAGGGGGCATTTTGCCCCACAGTAGATTAGGTGGCTTGGGACTTGCTATAACTATAGGGGAAGATCCAGCCATGATGCATGAGGAACTTTATGCTTTGTTTTGTCCTTAAAGCTGTCTTAATTCCTCTCAGAGCCAGAAAAAAATGTTTTGATTAGATTTCTTGTTTAAGATCATATGTTGGTGCCTTATTGCCCTTAAAGCATTCTTGGATTAGGTGAAAGCTCTTTTCTGGTGCCTCAGGGCTTTACTCAAACCTTGGTAGGGAAAGTCTAGAGGTCTCAGCCCCTCATATGTTCTAGGGAAGAAACTGAGTGTGTAAGATTAGACTGTCATTTTAAGAAGGGCTTTCCTGTGCTTACTTGCTTGTCAGTCACAACCTGGGGGAGAAGCCCGAGTTCACATGGGTATATCTCTGTTCATTCACTTATTTATGAAACATTTATGGAGCATCCACTGTCTGTCAGTCACTGTGCTGAGGTGCTGGGTGTACAGCTCATTGTGGCAGCATGAAATGGGAAAGCAGTTTGTCTGTCTTAGTCATGCAGGCAATACTTTTCCCAAAATTTGCATTTTGTCAGATTTCATCCTTTCCTATATTTGACACGTTTTGTTTTCTTTTTAGCATTTCTGGAAAGGAGTCCATTATCGCTGGGCTTTTTTCATGGCCAGTGGTCCATATCTAGATGACATTGCAGAACTGGTGGATGCGGGAAAGGTAAGTGTATTGCCAGGGCGTCCCTTGTCACCTTGGTGACCTGCCCAGCAAGCCTAGTCAATGGGAACTCCGCAGAGGTAGGCTCGGCCAATGTCCACGCTGCCTTACACACCGAGTTTAAGTGCTGTGTTTTGGGTTCTGTCTCCATGGGCATCATAGCCATAGACTGCTGCATTTGAGACAGAGCGTACACCGTCTAGTGCAGCCCCCTTGGTTTGCAGATGAGAGGCAGGCCCAGAGAGCTTATGTGATTTTCCCAAAGACGCTTGGTTACATGGTAGCAGAGCTGGGATCTACAGCTGGGCTGCTGCTATTTTGATAATGGTCCTGATAAGAAGGCACCGTGAAGGCAATTGTTGCACAAAGGTGGGGACACACTTGTGAGTTTACAGCTGAATTGCTTCTTGAGCTTCTTTAGTCCGAGGGTGAGGCTGCTTTGGAGGCAAGCAGATTTCCAGATGAGCAAGGAGATCAAACACTGTGGAATCTAAACAGAACTGGACTAGAAGTTAGGTCCCTGGGTCTCCTGTTCCCAGGTCAGTGTAATAAAGTCGGCAAATAAATGGTATGTCTGAGAGGGTCAGTGGTCAGGATGTGATTCAGGATTGATGGCGATTTTGGTAGAGACAGCTGGTTGGTGTTTCTGTCTATTCGAGTCTGTCCTGCAGCGGACTTGGTGGGGAGGGACTACTGCTTGGAGCCTGGTCAGCCCTTTTTGGGTGTCGAAAGGGCTCTTAGGGCTGATGGCAGTTGAAAGACTCCTTAGCTACCACCTGCCTATTTAACTTCTTACGTGGTTTTAACGGCTCAGACATGCCACCTCTGGAAGAATAACCCAGAAGGCAAACTCATATTCTGGTACTGATATTCGTGATTTTATTGAGAAATTATATGGAATTATAAATGAAGGGAGCGCTTCCCTGGTGGCGCAGTGGTTAAGAATCTGCCTGCCAGTCAGTGCGGGGGACATGGGTTCGAGCCCTGGTCCGGGAAGATCCCACATGCCACGGAGCAACTAAGTCCATGCGCCACAACTACTGAGCCAGCGCTCTAGAGCCCGCGAGCCACAACTACTGAGCCCACGCGCCTAGAGCCTGTGCTCCGCAACAACAGAAGTCACCACAATGAGAAGCCCGCGCACCACAACAAAGAGTAGCCCCTGCTCATTGCAACTAGAGAAAGCCCGCGGGCAGCAACGAAGACCCAACTCAGCCAAAAGTAAAAAAAAAATTAAATAATTAAATAAATAATAAACAAATGATTGGAGAGGCTTATGTACCCTAGAGGGTTGCATGAAGTCATAGATAAAATGATTCTCATTTTATAGATGAGAAGACTGGCTCAAAGGGATAAAGGGACATGCTCAAATTTGTAGACGTGGGACCAGGACTCATACCTCTGACCCCAGTCCTGTGCTTTTCCCTCCTCACCATTAAGCTGCGCTCTTCGTGCTTGAAGCCGATCTAGGACTTCAGCTTAAATTGACTTGTCATTTTACACTGGGCAGGGAAAGGGTCTGGAGAAAGTCTAGCATCACACCACGTGATCCTTGCTAAGCCATATGGAAAGAGCCCCTTGAAATGGATTTTCTTGTGTTGGCACCTGCCCCTTGCTGGCCCATCTCATCTTTCCATTTTGGTTTGGGAAAGAAATGTTTTTAGGAACTACTGGCTGCTTTTTGTGCATTTAGTTTTTTTATTCTATTTCAGCCAAGGAACTTATGATAGAAAATGGCCCACTACTATTTCCCAAATATTTTGGTTCCAAGTTTGCTTGCCTCTTCTCAGACTTCTAAGTCTTGATGTGTACTGGGTAGACAGGAGCTCAGCCTTGTTGTGGCTGCAATGTGCCTCTCTGTAGGGATCTCCCCATATCCCACAGGGGTGCTTATTTTATTTCTAGGAAGAAGGAAATGAGCCATCATCAGATAATACTGCCCATAGTTCTGCATAGTGCTGAATGGGGATGGAGCCTCATCATTAGAGAGGTCCCTGTCCTCCAGAAGTCACCACACTTGTCCTGACGTCGGCTCCAGACTGTCCACATGCTTATCATTGCTCTTTTGTGTTCAAAATATTGTGACTCTCTCTCTACCTAGAAATTACTATTTATGCAACAAAGAGAGGTGTTTGTGTACATGTCCCTATTGAATTTGGTAGATAACTGGTGGAATGGCTAAAAGAGGACATGGTAGAAATAATGATGCCCTTCAAGTGTCCTCCTCGAAGGGTGAGTGAGGAGATGTTCCTCTGGCCTTTGATTCTCTTCTCACCAGGGTTATTTGGGCTCAGGAGTCATTTCTGACAGTGAAGGGCTCTGGGACTATGGCGGTTGATATGTGACACCGGATCCACGAAGAGGCCAGCTGTGCTGTGCATCCTGCTGCTTTGTGGGTGTGAGAGGTTGTTGCCTGTCTACACTGGGAAGTTGGAAAGGATAACAGAACAGATCTGCTTACCCATTGTGTGGTTAGTAAAGACTGTAAAGTTGGACGAGGACACTGAAATCCTTCCAACCTTTGGCTGACTGCTTAATGAATCTAATTAGCAGGTATCCGATAGAGGGGCTGGAGTTGTTTTTTGACAGTGTGAGGCCATGAACCAGAAGAGGCTACTCTTAAAATACTTTAAGCTTTGGAATGAATAATACATTTGTAATATTCAAAATCCAAAAGGTAGGAAAAGTTATTTCATAGACTCTTCCTTTGACTCCTGTCCCTCAGTCATGGAGATTCTCCTTGTCAGGGCCCCAACATTATCAGTTTTTTGGGCATTCCAAAGATGTTTTGTGATTCAGTAGGGTGTAACAAAAGAATGATTTATAATTAGCACAGTGAGGTTAATGGGCTGCTACTGAAACTGTGCCTTATGCCTGAAGTTTATTGGCATTTTCTCCTAAGCACAATAAACATTTCCTGTTTTTATACTATTCAGCAAACTGTTTTTGGTGGGGTGCCTACCACAATGCATGGGGCACACATATACAATGGAATATTACTCAGCCATAAAAAGAAATGAAATTGAGTTATTTGTAGTGAGGTGGATGGGCCTAGAGTCTGTCATACAGAGTGAAGTAAGAGAGAAAAACAAATACCATATGCTAACGCATATATGTGGAATCTAAAAAAAAAAAAAAGGTGCTGATGAACTTAGCTGCAGGGCAGGAATAAAGAGGTAGACATAGAGAGTGGACTTGAGGACATGGGGTGGGAGGGCGAAGCTGGGGTGAAGTGAGAGTAGCATGGACATATATACACTACTGAATGTAAAATAGCTGGCTGGTGGGAAGCAGCAACACAGCACAGGGAGATCAGCTCGGTGCTTCGTGATGACCTAGAGGGGTGGGTGGGAGGGGTGGGATAGGGAGGGTGCGAGGGAGGCTCAAGAGGGAGGGGATAAGGGGACACGTGTATGCATATGGCTGATTCGCTTTGTTGTGCAACAGAAACTAACACGGTACTGTGAAGCAATTATACTCTAATAAAGTTTTATTAAAAAAAACACTTAGAAAAAAAAAGACATGAAAGAAACTTGAAATACTGGTTGCTGCACCTGAAGAGGGGAACTAGATGGCTGAGGATCAAGTATGGGAGGGAGATGTTCCTTCATACCCTTTCATCTTGTTGAGCATGTGTACGCACCTGTGGTTCGTGTACTTATTAAGGCCATTGGAGTCCACAGGCCCATTCAAGATCCTAGGTGACCAGCCAAGCTTCTTGGTTGAACGATGATGTATCTCGGTTTATTTATTTTAGCCAGCATCAGAATAGTTCCTGTGGAAGTTATTTGAATCTAATTCAGAAGTTACTGAGGGCTTCACCCAGTAGTGTGTGGAGAGATGCGTTGGTCACGCTGAATTACATCCTGAGCAGTGCTGTCCACTAGAACTTTCTGCAGTGATGGAAATGTTCTCTGTCTGTATTGTCTAGTGTGGTAGCTACTAGCCGTATGTGGCTGTTGACCACTTGAAATGTGGCTAGTGCAACTGAGGGACTAAATTTTTCATTTTATTTACTTTTGATTAATTTAAATTTAAGTAGCCCCATGTGGCTTGAGGTTAACAATTTTGGACAGTGCAGCTTTAGACACAGTGTAATAAGTTCTGAGGCAAATGATTTCCCAGACCCGCTTTGGGGTGGCCAGGCCCTAGTTTTGCAATGAACTGTATTCCAGAACTTTGAACTCCTTATTTGCAGCTGGATTTTTTCTCCCATAGAAAGAATGTAACGGCTAGGGACTGAATCCCTGGGACCACTACGAGAGTGTTATCTTGCCAGATGTGGTAGGTACCTCACAGCCGTGATGCTACTGAAGTTTTCAGATGCCACTGAAAATTGTTTCTATGGGGAAACATAGGCCGAGTTTCTCCCCTCACCTTCTGGCTAGAAGGAGTGCCTGTTTTTAGGGGGGCCTAGGGACAAGTCCTGGGATGCACATTTACTGCCTTGGAGAGTATCCTCCCCCCGCCCAGTCTCACCTCCTATCTTCCAGCCTTGAGTTTTGCATCTGGGGCCAGGAAGTTCAGAAATGGCAAGTCTGAGCAAAGCCCACCTTTTCCTTCTTCATATCTGCTTAGTTTAAGCCCCCTTCTTTCCCTTTATCCCACCCCAGGAAATACTGATCCTGTGGCAGAGCTCAGGGCCACGCCTATCTGAGAGGGGGTGCTGGCGCTGTGTCCTGCCGCCCTGCGCCGGGGCCCGTCCACAGGCGTGAGGACAGGGATTGCCAGGGGCCTTTAGGTCTCCCTGGATCTCTGTCATCGGCCTCTGTCTCCTCGCACTCCCCCGCTCTGAGATCAGTTTCTGTGCCCCGTGGAGGCTGCGGCCGAGGGTCTGAGGAAGAGGTGACAGACTTGGGCTTCCCTCCCCAAAACACCCCCATGCCATGCAGTGATGACATCGGGTGTCTGGGACCCTAAGTCTGCTCCTCTGCTAAGAGCTCTGACCTTGCACTTAGCACGTAGACACCTGCGCTTCAGTTTCCTAATCTATCCAACAGGCTGGCTCAGAGGCTCCCCTGCTTTAAGCTCTGCCGTTCTGTGATTTGCGCAGGGAAGTGGGGTGGAGGGAGAGCCTCTCTGCAGGCCACTGTGCCTGCCTGGGTGCCATCCTCTCTCCACCAGCTCTCCGAAGCTCCTGTGCTGCGAGGGTTTCTGCCTGAGAAGCAGGGAGGCTTGCCCAGTGGCTGATGGGCAACAGTGTTCTGAGGCCACACCAGGGAGGTTGAGGTTCCCATGGTCCCTGTTCTCATGGAAGGGATGTCAGGCAGCAGGTGCCAAACCCCGGGGCCTGGTTTTGTGCAGCCTTTGTTTAGGAAGGGAAAGGACAATCAGAGAGCCTGAATTTGGGTCTGAGACTGGGATGAATGCTGCAGCCGTGGACTCCCTGTCAGCTGTGCGCCCCGCGCGTCTGCATTGCCCTCGAGTGTGGTATCAAGCCCGCCGCTTTATACCAGGGCTCCCTGAGCCGGCCAGACTACAGCAGTGTCATCACATAAATGTCCCCACCTCACCGTGAGTAACCTTTCTTTCCCCTCTCTGGATTTTTGCTCTGATCCCTTTGTCCATAGCAAACAAGCATTCCAGGTCTGACGTGAGGCTGTGTGTAGACACTGCCTCATTATCCCGTTAATCTCTGTTTGCTGTCATATATTCAGCCAACAGTGGCTTTTGCCTGCCTGTTAATTGAAAGCCTCTTTTTTCATTGTCACTTACGGGAAGAACTGAATGCCTGTTATGCTACAGTCAGCCCTGTGGGATTATCCGCCACAATAGGCCTGACCAACCAGATTAAAGTGTGCCCGTCGCTGTGGGCTGCCTGGGTCATCAGTTCAGGGTCTGTCTCTCCGGTCAGGTTCTAGAGTGGGCGGAGCTAGGTGGGCGGCCGCTCATCCTGGAGTGGAGCAGGTGGATTCCCGTTCCCTTGTGACCTCTCGTAATGCCGCTGCCGGTGTCCGGTGCTCAGTGACAACGAATGGGTGTTCCTGCCTCCTTTCTTTTCTCGATGTCTCTCTCTGGTGCCTGCTTTGTGTGCCTGCTCTGCGTCAGTGCCTGGCACTTAGAGGGCAGACAGTCTCTGTGGAGTGGGTGAATGTGCATGACACAAGTCAGGAACCCTAAGCATAAGGCAGAAGGCTGCAGTGATTCCCTCCCTGATGTGCAGAAAACTCACCTCCACCCCTAGAGATTCTGATTTAGTTGTTCTAACTGCAGACCAAGGACTCTGCATTTTAAGCATGCATTCAGGGGATTCCTTTTCAAGTAATCAGCATCCAGAAAGCAGTGTCCAGCAGCCTGAAGGAGAGGGATGGGTTCGGGAGGTTCTGGGTGGGACATGCAGGGAACAACTTGGATGCATTCCACTCTTTTACCAGACAAGGCGAGCAGGTTTCCTCTAACAAGCCAGCTCAGATCTGTTCTGTTCACAGCGGCCACCGTGCTGGGGGAGGTTGAGATCGCCCTCAGCTTGCTGGAGAGTGCCACGATTATTCATCAGTGATGTCCTCCACAGGTGCAGATGGGAGTGGTGGCCTGTGGGCCATGCAGCTGCTCTCCTGGTGGCCTGGAGACTGGATCCTCAGGTGGCGCAGCCTGTTAGCATGAGGCAGGCCAGCCAAGATGCAGGCTGTGATGAATCACCATAACCCTTGGCTACCTTCCCCTCCCCTTAAGATTTCAGGAGTAGATGTAGAAAGTGGCTGCTGCTAATGACAGGCTTAGTGCGTAGAGGAGAGCGGAGCGCGCAGACTCCGGCACCAGCTTGAATCCTGCTCTACCACTTAGCAGTTATGGGCCCTTGGGCAACTTATTTAACTCAGCGCCTTAATTTATTCATCTGTACAAGGGGAATAATAGTACCTACCTCATAAGGTGGTTGTAGGGATTAAAGGAAGTAAAAGATACAGAGCACTTAGAAGAGTGCCTGGCACACAGGGAGGACAGTATGTGCTGTGACTTTATGAGCTTTTCGTGGTTTGTGGGCACAAAAGAATTTTCAGCTCTGGAGAAGGGAACTTTTGGAGTCCGAGATGCTCTCTGGTGGCAGGGCTGTGAAATTCACACAAGAGCAAGGTCTGTCGGGTGCATGCGAACACAAAAGCACGTACTTCTTCCTCTTGTAAAAGGGAAAGGGTTGCGAGACGTAGGCTTATGCCTTCTGACAACTTACACCTGCCTGTGGGGCAGCGGCAGGTAGTTCACTGAAAGAGCCAGTGGATAGTTATTGATTTTTGCTTGAAGTTTTGAAAAGGATGAGTTCAGTTGGATTCGTGCATAGGGAGAGGGCGCTAACTGGTCCTAGTTTCAAAGGAGGTTGCTGGCAGTACTAACGCTACAGTAAAAAGAACCGGCAGCACTCAAGCCTTTATGCGCTGGCTGAGCTGGCGTTCCTGTAAGTTCCACCCAGCTGCTGCGTGGCTTAGCAAAGCCCCTAGGGCAGCTGCAGCCAGGGAAGGGCCACAGAGCCCACGCAAGACTCTCGCTTCCCAGTTATCTTACTGGTTTTCACCTAAGTGACACTTATTAAGCTCCTGCTGTGTGCCTAGCATTGTGCTGGGTGTTGGGGGGCGGATACAAGAGGTGACTAGCCCACAGGTGCGCTAAGCTTTGAGTAGACGGGCCAGACATTCAACAAATGGAAACAATCTGTCCCTCTTCTGTGCACTGCCTGTGAGGGGCCACGGGGACACACGCAGCGAGAACCCTGGGACGCCTTCTTTGGCGTTTACCACGCAGGACAGCGTGCCTGAGACGGGCACTGGGCTGTAGCAGGCCGTCTGTGAGGAGGGCCACACGGGCTCTGCGGTGGTTCAAGGAGAGGACGTGCCGCAGGCTCGGGTTGGGGCCGGGCGCCCAGCAGACGTCGCAGAGGGGCACACACCCCACGCTCAGACAATGGCAGCTAGCCCATTTTGGTAACGCGGGGTCCACGGAGGGTGGAGGTTGGAACGGTAGTGGCCTTGGGATGCTGGCCTCGGGCGCCATGGAAGGGCCCTGAGCAGGGGAGCGAGGCGCCTGGCATGGAGCCGGAGGAGGGTTACTGGTCCGGCTGGGCTCCCTTACACCGGAGACGCGAAGAGGCAGGAGAAGCTGGGGGGCAGCCGTCTTGCCGACCCGCCTTGAGTTCCTGACCCGGGGGCACCACGCAGACCGGAGAGAGGCCCGCCCGGGCTGGGCACGCAACACAACCAACTACCGACATCACCCGACTTGACCCACGTGGCTCTTCTCACCTGCTCGTCAACCTTTCTTGTTTTACAGATTCAGCCAGTTATTGAGAAAACCTTTCCGTTTTCTAAAGTTCCAGAAGCCTTCCTGAAGGTAGAAAGAGGACACGCACGAGGAAAGACCGTCGTCAGTGTCGTTTAAATAAACACTCAGTTCGGTGCCTGTGGGCTCTTATTTGGTGAGTGCCTGTAGGCCCCGACTCTTTTCCAGCCGTCCCTTTCCAGCTTAGACTAGAAGTTCCATGAAATAAATTTAGCACACACACGTTTCTGCCAGTCATTTCCTGTCTGCTGAGCTGAGCAGAGACTGATTTTACAGCCACAGCCCCACCCTCTGTCATCACCTTGCTCTGCCCAGAGCGTTCTCGTGTCACCTGCCCCGACGCGGCCGCGCACTCCTGTCTGCCGAGCTCCTCCATGCCAAGCGCAGGGGATACACACGTAAGCAGGGACAAGATATGAACATTTCTGCACTTGGACTTGTCTATAAAGTTGCTGAAAATTGCCTTTTGTTTTTTTCAAGCTGTTCTTTCACAGCAGATTTGCAAATTGTGGCGGCATCTTCTGTTCTAGTAGCTCAAACTCTGTTTGTTTTATCATCTTAATAATTGTGAGAGATTAGAACTTTCAGCGTGTGGAGGGATGGCAGCATGAAGAGCTTCCTTAAAGCTAATTCCTTCTTAGGGTCATAGTGAGCACTTTTCCCACTGGCCAAAGTTTCCTTTGATTTTTATTCCATCTGCTCCAGTGTGCGGTCATAACAGCCCTCAGAGTTCTGAATCTCTTAGGGTCATATGTAAAAATCTCGCGAGCGATTTGGTTGTTTACGCTTTTAGAAAATGAAATGTGATGTAACGTTTGTAACTTTTTAAAACACTTACTTTTTTGCATAAGGCTAGTCCTCTTTCGGCAACTGAAATGTGCTTCTCTGGGGACTTTTCCGTGGAAATTACCACCGTTCCATTGGGGGCCAGAGTTCTCCAGTTTGACCTGAAATGCTTGCATTTAGGTATCTCTCCAATAAACCCGTTGCGGCTTTTGAGTCTCTAGTCTGTGCCCTCTGATCATTGACGGTAAGTGTCCAGTTCCTGCCACGATCCCCTCATTACTGCAGCTCAGCTGCTATCATTTGGCTTCTGACGTAGACCTGTCTGAGTAGCCTTCTACTTGGTTTCTTCCTGATAGACACTCATTTGTAGTGTTGCATGAGGGTTTTTCTCTAGAATTGCTGTTCTCACCAGTACAAATTTACCTCAAAAGCAAGATGTTTTTCCAGGTGTGAATAAGCCACTTTTGACTTCTCTGAATTCAACCTCAGCTCTTTCTCTTTGAGGCCTCCCAGTGGTAGTGAGGGGCATCTCTCGAGGGACGACCTCACTTACCCTCATGTCCACTCAGAAAAGTGGAGTGTGCCCCTTCACCACTGAGTCTGGAAAGAGGGTAGTCAAAAATCTCCCCCTGCTGTTATTCTAGCAGCTCTGAAACCCACCTTGTCCAGATCAGACATTTGTTTCTAATCTGCCTGCTGACCCTCTTTGAAGTGTTACGAGGGCTAGAATGGACTCTCTCAGATTGCATCAATACGGTTAACCAGAAACAAGTTTATTCAAGAGATAAATTCAACACAGACTCGACAGTCTTACCCCACCTTACTGTGTAGTGAGACACACAAAGGCCTAAGGCCAGAGCTGTGCACCTAAGAACAAGACGCATGGCAGCTGCTGTTTGACGAGGACAACGGCATGAGGACAAAAAGAGGAAGCGTGTATTCAAGGAATGTTTTGCAGTTTTGTTCAAACTGTGAACAGCACTGAGGCCAGGGAGTGTACAATCAGCAGCTAAATATTTTCAGTTTCCACTGAAATACTTGCTGTGTCTTAGGGTTCTCAGATCTGAGATCTGGCCAACTAGGATTGCTTTAGTCTCCTTTCGCTTTCTGGAGAGAATTGCTGGTCATCCTCTTGAGCCTTCCACACCTCTCGTTTCTGCTCCCAGAAGTACATGACCTGAGGCTGTCCCCCAGCAGTCATAGCAGGTGCGGGGCCATGGAGCCTCACAGGGAAGGCAGCCCCATGCAGCCCTCGTGCCAGTGCAGCTGGACAGGAGGGCAGGAAATTGGGCTAAAAGACCTGAGTTTAGCAAAGGCCTGCGTAACGCTGCTTCAGAACTACCTGTAGATGAGGATGGGCTCATAAATTAGGTCATGGTAATACTGTTTCAGTAGCATCTGCAAGAAAAGCACTAAACAACACTCACATGTGACATTCTAGAGTGGGTTAAAATAATCCAGATCCTGCTAATAAATGTTAGCAGACATGAACATGCTATCTTTGTAAATTTACTAATTTTTAAAAAAAAATATATTTTAGGCTGCATTGGGTCTTTGCTGCTGTGCATAGGCTTTCTCTAGCTGCGGCGAGCAGGGGTTACTCTTCGTTGCGGTGCGTGGGCTTCTCATTGCAGTGGCTTCTCTAGTTGCGGAGCACGGGCTCTAGGCACACGGGCTTCAGGAGTTGTGTCACGCGGGCTCAGTAGTTGTGGCTCATGGGCCCAGCCAGTCTGTATCACGTGGGATCTTCCTGGACCAGGGCTCGAACCCGTGTCCCCTGCATTGGCAGGCAGGCTCTTAACCACTGTGCCCCCAGGGAAGTCCCCTAATTTTTGATATTAACAGAAACATTTTGTTTATACTTAGTTGCTTAAGGTAGGTCTGACTAGATAAGGCTTTCCCCACTTTGCTATACGGCATAATTCGTAAGTCCAGAAATCAGAAGATCAAGGACCAAAATTATAGGCCTAATAAATTATTTCTTCTCAGATGCTGAACAGTCTCCTACCTTACAAACTTGAGCTTCTGTCCTTCCCTTTAAAGTGTACAGGACTTGTAGGTCTGCAAGGTCGGTAAGTTTGTTCTTGTTCTCTATCTTTGGCTATAATTTAAAATGTACATAGTCTTGCAGCTAATGAGGCAACCTGTTTAAGCAGCTACTGAAAAGAAATGAAAGGGATAAAACAAGAGGAGGATAAATGACTGGTTTAAAACGATTACAGTCTTTTGAGAAGATGAGTGGTTGTCCTGGTCACGGTGGTGTGATTCAAGAGAGAATTTAGAGCTGTTGAAGGAGCAGGTCCACTTTCTTCTTGGCGCTTCTGTCTGCAGCCCTTGTTTTTTCTTTTTTTTGTTTGTTTAAATAAGGTAGCTGAAAGACCTCCAGAAATATTCCTCCTGCATTCTTAAATTCAGATATATAGGACCATGGCTTCCCACACTTGTGTTAACTTCTCTTTGCTGACACTGTTGAGGATAAGGTGATTTTGATCATACTGTGTACCCCCTGAAAGACAGAAGAGGAAAATGATAGAAGGAAATATGCCCACATGAAGAGGCTGTAGCAGACACAGTTTATCACAACACCAATGTAACAAGAGTAAGCAAAGTGTGCCTCGAGGAGACAAAGCAGGGAGGAAAGCCCAGAAACGCACTGAGGGCTGAGAGGTTCCAGGCTCTGGTGGGGGGGGGGGGGTGATGTGTTAAAGCCCCATCATATGGCACCGGCGGGGGTCGGGGGCAGAATCTAGAAATGGGAAAAGGAGTAAAGAGATTGTGACAAATATTCAGTGGTGGGATTGTGGATTTGAGATACCAGCAAAATAAGCAGGCAGGCCTGAGTAGAATAGTCATCGGAACAAATCTTGCATGAACAATGAAGAATAGTTGTATTAGGTCAAAGGGGAGGTCTGAGTGACACCCAGAAGTATAGGCAGGGCAGCACTCCCACTTCTGGGAACCCACAGGCTGTGGTGTATAAAAATTCATAGCATTTAACATGCTGAGTTCCATCAGACTGTAAAAACTAGTATGGTTTGCCTTTCACCAGAATATTTTTTTCCAAGGGTGCCTACTAGATATTTCAGATTCTTTAGCCTCATGGCCTCTTCTTTCAATGGAGAAGTATCATTAACAAAAGAAAGGGTCATGTGATATTTTTTTCCAGTGTGGAGTAAACAAGTACCTTATCCTTTTCAGCATAAGCCTCTGTACCAACGTCATAGCACCAAGGACTCCATCAAAATTAAAATCTGTTCATCTCGCTGCAGGGTAAGTGCGACTGGTATTGAAATCATACTGCAGCCTCAGGCCAAGAGGAATTAAACGTTCTTATTCTCTTTGAAACCATTTACAAAACATCCAAAAGGTCTGAAAACTTACACAGTAGATTTTGATAGGGATGAAATCATCTCTTATGCATGCCCCTCTTCTAAGAAATTGGTTAATCATCATGATAACTGAGAGCCTCTGCACAGCTAGGTATAGAATACAAAGGCAAGGTGCCCTGGGCATTTTATGCTTAAGTTTGGAAAAAAAAGTCACCACCACCACAAACCCCACCATCTCCACTGAGACACAACACACTCCACTCCACTGAGATTTCAGCAAATATTATCTTAAGGTCACAATGTCTTTTTTCATTCTTCAAGATTATAGTATCTTAAACATACTTTCTGTGTATATTACATTATAATTCTAATTAGAGTCATGACGACTAGAAAGTTCCTGAGAAATAATCTGATTCATTCTTTGCCTTTGGGGAGGATTAAAATTCTCACAGACTTTTTTAAAGTGAGTGTGAATCAGCTTACACTGTTGTTATAATGTCTTTGGTCTGGAATAATACACGGATGTCTACCAAAACACCAGGAGATAGGTTAAAAGAAATAAATCTTACGGTAATAGTAGTAGGTAACAAATGGTCAACAGTTGTAGCCAGTGAAAGTCACAGTCTCCTATTGAGAGATGTATTTCTATCCCCCTTGCACAGTATGTGGGATGTGTGGCCCTACTCCCTCTTGTCCACAAGATGGCACCATTCTCCCACATTCTGAGACATTTAAACTAGTTTAACAATCGATTACTGTAGCTACCATACTCGATATACTGAGAGTTCACAAACATACAGAACAGTAGCCTTATTCCAAAGGCACTGGACTAATTTATATTGCATTTTAGGAAGTGATCTTGGAGCTTTCAAGCGAAGCCCTAAGGAGGAGGCTCCTGAAGTCCCACAGTCCTTTTCAGAGTCGAAGACTAATCCTTACTCCTGGTCAACTGCCAGGGTAGCAAGTGGGGGAAAATCCCATATCCTTGGCGCTTCCAGAATGT